AGGAAGGGTCACTCAACCCAAAACATTGACTCTGATTTCTGTCCGCAGATGCTGCCAGACCTGCTGAGATTTTTCAACAAATTCTGTTTTTGTCTTTGGAACTAGTTTTTTTTTAAAGACACAGTTTAAAGGCAGGGGATTAAAGTCCGTGGCCATGTAACCAAATGAAATTCAATTTGTAGATGTTGGGCATGTTGTGGCATGTGCTTGGAAGCTGAATACAGTAAGTTCCTCAATGTAAAAGACCACTTGTAGTTCTGGTCTTTGGACTTTATAAGTGGGAATAACTGCTGTTTTAAAGTAAGGGCTGCGGAAGTTTTTGAAAAAAACACATTACCGGTGAAATAACTCCCCAGAGGCTGGTTTCCTATCACCAAGTTACCCTTCCTTTACACAAGGCCTTGACACTGATCCAGCTCCCAGAGTGAACAGGACGTCTGACACTTCTGTTCTTATCGGTCAGCCAGGGCCCCCTAATTGGGGCTGTTAACTTGGTCCAATCAGGGAACTCATTCTATGAAGCTGGCTTACTTCCTTATAGTCACTACAACCGGGACACATTGTAACTGAGATGTTGCATTATTCAAACAGTGGTAGGTGGATGCTAGACATTTTTGCCCTATGGGTGTGACTGGAGGGGCCGTTTTGCCCTGTGACACTCTCTCGATTGGTTTTTCAACCAGGACCAGTTGTGCGTGTTGGGAAGTGATGACCTCTTGATCGCTTGCTGAGTGAGCGCCTACAGCTTTGTGTTGGGCAATACGGCAGAGACAAGGGATTAAAAAAGGATAACCACTTTCAGAGACTGAAAGGGTGAATCTTCAACCAGTAAATAAAAGGTTGAGGATTGGTATGTCCACAACCTCATTTCCTCCTCCAAAGAGTAAAAAGGAACCAGAAGGGAACTGAAGGAAAACATCTCATTAATGCCTGTAATCTGGACTGGTGCCAGAACTGTGCTTCACTGACTTTTTGTTCCCACCAGTAATATTTATGTCTTGTCTCTTTGTCTGTTTGTACGTAAATGGGATCCTTTTTAAAAGGGGGAGTTTAAATTATACAGAGCTGTTAAAAACAAACAAATTGCTAACTTACAAATGATTAATAACAATTTGTTTGCAATAAATGGCTGTTTCCTCATTAAATGCAGAAACCTGGTGAATGTTTTATTTTAACCTGGGCTCAGTTGCTTGATAAATTAGGGACTTTGGGTGGTTTAATTAAACCTTTTCACATTTGTGATGACTCTGGGAGCTGGGGTTTGATGTTTCAGCATACTATCTCAATGAGTCGTGATACAACCAGCAATATCAAGAATAATCAGTCAATCTGCATTTTGATGAGTATCAGGCAGGACACCAGGAAGAACTCCCAAAATGGCAGAAACACTATTGCCTCTGAATTTGAATGTTATGGATTCAAAGAGATTTGAGTACAGTAGTAAAGATGTCTTGCTGCAGTTACTTAGCTTTGAGATGTCTTTTGAGTATTGTGTATTATTTTGGTCCAATGTGGTTGACTCTTAACTGCCCTCTGGGCAATTAGGGATGGGCAATGAATGCTGCCTAGCCAGCGAAACCCTCATCCCATGAATGAGTTTTAAAAAAAAACGTAAGAAGGATAGATTTGCTTGCCACAGAGTGTGCAACGGAAGTTCTAATGCCTGAGATTTTAGGGTTGTTTTATTTGGGGAGATCGTGGAGACTGTCCATATTCCCTACACTTTTGTAAAATGAGGGGTGATTGCCACATTGTATTTTATAAAATTCCTAGAGGGTGTGGCAGGGTGGATGTAGAGGAGATGTTTCCCCTGGCTGATGAGCCTACTATCAAGGGACATAACCTCAGGCTAAGGGCGAGGCCATTTAAATTGTCAAGTCAGAGAATTTCTTCATTCCGAGGGGGTGAATTTCTGGAATTCCCTAACCCAGGGGCTGCAGAAGCTCCATTATTGAGCAAGTTCAAGATACAAATTGGTAGATTTCTGGAGTATAATGATGATGATGAGGGACAGCGCAGGAAAGTGACATCGGAGTAGGTGATTTGGCCTTGAACTAATAGAATGTCAGAGTAGATTCAACAAGTTGAATGACCTACTCCTGTTTGTATATTCCTATGTTGAAGTCACACTCCTGACAAATCTAATTTCAAAATTTTAAACACTTATTGCCAGTGTTTTATCCAGAGTGTTCTGAGATTGTTTTGCCAACAATTAGCTCTTCTTGTAACGACCACCACCATCTCTGCCACCAACCTACACCCACCGAAGTCCCAAATCTGCCGAAGAAATTGGCAAACTGCTTTAAGAAACAACTTTTGAGCTTGCAAGGGAGTTAAGAGTAGTCTGCACATTAACTCTATAGGGCAGAGCTAGAAGTTTCTATTTTATTGTTTTTACAAACCATGAGAGATTCCCCACTTGTGGGAGAATACACAGCATCTGGAAGTGAGGAAGTTCACGTAAGGACAAGAAATGCATGGCCTGTCCTGTGAAAAATTCCTCAGCATTGGTGTTGTAAGTATTTGTTTCTATGATAACATCTTACTGTGCCTGCAGGATATAATGCAGCAACTTTGTCAAGGCTTCTTCTGCAGGACCTCCCAAATCTACTATCTCTGCCTTGAATGCCAAGTGTAGCAAATATATTTTAAAAAATGTATATGGCCATTCTTTGGTCATGTCTTAGTCAAATTAGTGTACCTCCGACCCGCACCCCCCCAACAGCACTGTAGGTATATCTTCACCATACAGACTGAGAAGTTCAAGAAGGCACATTAGCTCTATTTGCTGAGGGCAACTTGAAAGGGGCAATGAATATCCGCCTCACCAACAGTGGTGTCATTCAGAGAGTGATTTTCTTTTTAAAATGAAACCGTATTTGTTCCAAAGGATGGTGAACTTTGAAATGTAATCATTACCATTACACAGATAAATGTGGCAGCCATTTTGCGCAATGCAGAATCCAACATGCGATAAGGATAATGACCAGTGAACCTGAGTGCTGGAGGAGAAAGTAATGAAGAGCAACCTTGCCTGCTCTTCTTCAAAGAGAAATGGTGGATTTTATTTCATAGTCCACCTGAACAAGTAAACAGAGCCTTGGCTTAATGTCTTTTATGACACCACCAGCAATGCAGCTCACTCTCCACTGCACTGGGAGTGTCAGCTGAAACTGTTGGTAGAGTGGTTAAAGGGAGCTTTTACATTGTTGCAGTGGTTGCAGGAGAGAGGCACTTTGGGCTTCTTGAAGGTCCTGTCCGCCATTGGTGACCAGCCAGGATCCAGAGCTGAAAAGTCACCCCTGCCTCAAAAATCCACTGTGTCACTTAAACTGGTTTTGGTTTGGTTTGCAGGTTAGATTACTAACAAACTTCCTAGTCGTATGAGAGACAAACATTTTTTTGTCATGTAAAAGGCTGAAATTTTCATGGTTGTGGAAACATGCTCCTGGAGACTGCATCTTTTTCAGGATGGCAAGTTGCTTGGAGGGGAGCTTGCAGTTGGCAGCGTTCCCATGCATTTGCACATGATATCTCCGTTTTAGGTCCAATTTTTATGGACTAGACTTGTATTTCCTCAGGAACACAAAATTAAGATGCCACCTAAGACACGGAGTTTAAGATGACTACGAAACTTCTTTCCCCAGATTCTTCTCTCCCACATTTCCTCAGGCATGATCTTTTATTGATGACTGGGTGATGGGGTTTGAAGACATTTGAGCTGTGGAAAGCCCAAAAGCAAACATGGTTACTCGTGATAGAGTATAGATCCTTGGGTAGATGTTGACTTATGGCGAACTTTTATTTTAGTTTTGGGGTGTTCCCTACCCCTTAATTCCTTTGACTGGGGGGAAGAAAATGATCAATATTTGTGGAGTTTTTCCAGCCTCAGCGGCTTTATTTTTGGGATGTCAAGGGGAGGGGTGGAAAGTGTTCTAGCTTTCCACTATCCTTAGTGTGAAGAAGTTTTTCCTGAAATCAACCTTGGCTCCAATTTTCAGGTTCTGCCTCTTTTTGTTCTTGACATTCCTACCAGAAGAAGCCACTTTCTGATGATCATAGGAATATTTTGTAGTCATCTTAAAATCCACGTCTTAGATGACCTCTTAATTTTGTGTCCTTGAGAGAATACAAGTTTAGTCCATTAAAAATTAGACCCGAAAGGAGATATTGCATGCAGATACATGGGAACGCTGTCACCTGCAAGTTCCCCGCCCCCCATTTTTCACCTCTTTGCCTGAAGTCATGGGTTACAAGTTCACCTGCTTTCTTCACCTCAGTGATGATTCTTTGTGAGAGTTTCGATAAATGATACCTGGAAACAATGGAATGTCCAAAGCTCAGCCCTGCATTTGAAAGCTCCTCCCCATCCAGCCCAGCTTGTCCCTGCTTCCCTAACCTGTCCTTCCTCCCACCTCAAGCCCCACGCCCATCTCCTACCTACTAGCCTCATCCCGCCCCCTTGACCTACCCCATCCCTAACTCCCCACCTACACTCCCATTTACTGGCTCCATCACCGCCTCTTTGACCTGTCTGTCTCCTCTCCACCTATCTTCTCCTTTTATCCATCTTCTACCCGCCTCCCCCGCTCTCCCTATTTATTTCAGAACCCCCTTCCCCTCCCCCATTTCTGAAGAAGGGTGTAGACCCGAAATATCAGCTTTCCTGCTTCTCTGATGCTGCTTGGCCTGCTGTGTTCAGCCAGCTCTACACCTTGTTATCTCAGATTCTTCAGCATCTGCAGTTCCTACTATCTCTGAGAAATGTATCACTTTTTTTTTCTTGTTCAGCGTCATTGGCCCAAAATCCTGGAATGCTTTATCTAGCAGCAGGTGTACCCATACCAGGTGGGTTACAGCAGTTCAGCAAGGTGGATAACCACCATCTTTACAAAGATATTTGGGGATGGACAACAGCACTTGCTGAGCCAATGACATCCACGTCCCGTGAAGAAATATCTGTTTCAAAAAAGTTTAACCAGATGATTTTTCTTTTGCAGGTGTTTGTCGTTGCAACAGTGGGCATCACACGGGCTATTGTTTCCATGACAGTCAGTGCATCCACCATAGCTATAGTAACAGACAAGGTAAGTCGAGATAAGTTCCCCCCTTCCCTCCATTCCTTTTGTTAGATTTATGTGTCACACAAACAGAATTGTTACTATGCACAAGGAGGCCAACAGTTGTAAAGTCTTTCAGGATTGGTTTGAAGACTTGAGTATTACAATCCTGGCATAGTACACTCATTGCTGTTATCTGGGGTGTACAGTCATCAGGATAGAGAGACCAGATGCTTTCTCATACAAAATTTGGGGGACATGAGTTTTGTTTGGTATATCACGCCATTGTCAGAAAATAAGGATATATTCTTTAATCTGGAATGAAGAGTACTAAATTGGTTTTTATATCTATTTTCTTTCAGTCCAGTATTCAGAGATTTTTGAGAGCCTTTCTTTCCCCTCCAATATTTCTTCTTTTCCTGAGGACATTGATATCTCCGTTAGGGTGCAGTTCCAACGGTGGCACTTAGCCTGGGGACTAGCCCCAAAATACTCACTCACTTGTGACAGGTGTGACAAGAAGAGCTGTTCAACTTCCTGACCTTGAAAGGTCTTGCAGGTTAGCTCAGTCCTGTTTCTCAATCCCCATCCACACATTTACACTTTGCACGAAGGCATCATTGGATGGCATCAGGAGCAGAAAGTAAACGGGATTTGGTGTGAGGTAGGATTTAGGCAGTAGAGCTTTGAATTTAAGTTTATAGAATATGGGAGGCTAGGCCAGAAAAGCTTTGAAATAATAGTGGTGAAATGAATAGTAAAATATTTTGAGCAGTTCATCCACTCATGATTGATTGATTTGTTATTTCTCTTTTAGATTCTTTGGGAGATCTCACGATTTTTTCTGTTGGCGACTGAGCTGAGTGTAATAATATTAGGTTTGGCTTTTGGTAAGGTATCAAGTTTGATGACTTTGGCTCCCTGTTGAGCAAGCTCTTGATCTTAAAGTTCCTACTGTTGTTTTTTTTTTGAAATCCTCCAATGGCCTCGCACCTCCCTACTTCTGTAAAGTCTTCCAACCCTAAATCCACCTGATATCTCTGGTCCTCTAATTCTGAATCTAATGCAAGCTGGATTTTATTTGTTACACTGTTGTTGGCTCTAACTGCCTGGGCACAAAGCTCTGGAATTCCTTTCCTGAACATCCCTGTCCATCTACTTCGCAATCTTCCTTTTTAAGACATTCCTTGAAACCTACCTCTTTGACCAAGCTTTTGGTCATCTGCATTCATGTCACCTTGGGTAGATTACTGTCCAAGTTGTCTTGGCAGTGCTCCTGTGAAGCACCTTTATACATTCTACAATTTTAAAGGTATGGTAGAAATTATAGCTGCTAATCATTTGACGAGGAAATATACTTTGAATTTTCATGCACTGAATATATACTGATTATAATGTATCTTCTTTGCTTTCTCATTTTTCTTGGATACAGGACACCTTGAAAGTAAATCAAGCATCAAGCGTGTCTTGACCATAACTACAGTACTTGCTCTGGCCTACTCGATTACACAGGTCTGTCTGAAAGCTCTAATGTTTTGTTTTCACATTTCTCTTTCCCAGCTCATTTCGTGCACTGTTGTCTCTGTCTCTGAGGCAAGACATTGTGAATTCAAGCCGCAGTCCAGAGACGTGTACACAATCCACATTGACATTCCTGATACAAACCTGATGGAGAGTTGTATTGTGTGTGTTGACATGTTTTGATTCAACATCATTAGATATTAGATAAAACATGCCTGCCCCCTCAGGTTGACTTACAACTTCACAAAAACAAAACCAGGAACTGTGGATGCTGAAGTTCTGAAATAAAAACAGAAATTGCTGGAGAAACTTAGCAGGTCTGGAAGCATCTATGGACAGAAAACAGAGTTAACGTTTCGGGTCCCGAAGAACGGTTACTGGTTTCGAAATGTTAACTGTGTGCTTTCTTTCTACAGATGCTGCCAGACTTCCTGACATTCATCAGCTTTCTGTTAAAGTATGTTTCTCTTAAAACTTCTAACGTCTAGTTGAAGATGAGCTGGCAAGTTCTGGCCAATATTTATCCCTTCACCAATGTTACTTTAGAACAAAGAAAAAAGATCTGGGCATTATCACATTGGCTTTTTATTTGGTATCTTGCAGGGTGCAAGTTGGTTGGCATGTTTCCTACAGTACAACAGTGATCACACATGGAGTATTTAATTGCATCTGGATGGCCTGAGATTGTGAAAGGCACTATATAAATGAACATTATTTGTTTCTGTGGGTGTAGTAGGGAATCTAGTAAAAGTGAAGAATAATCCATTTTGAGAAAATGATTCAAACATTTGGGATATAGAACCTAACTTTCTTCTTTGATCAACTTTCAGTAGCTGATCTGTCCCCACAAATCACCATATAATCTGATATTGGTGATGTTGGTGTGCTTACACATTGCCTTTCATATTTCTATTACTACATGATATATAGGAGACATGGTTAGTAAAGTTGTGGATGACTTCAAAAGTGGTAGTATAGTGAACAGTGAAGAAGATTATCTAAGATTACAAAAAGATGTTGATCAATTGGGTCAGTGGGCTGAGGAGTGGCAGATGGAGTTTAATTTGGATAAATGCAAGGTATTACATTTTGGCAAATTTTGGTTGTACATATTTGTTGTACAATTAATAGTAGGGCACTGGGTAGTATTGTAGAACAGAGACTCCTAGGGGGTTCAGGTGCATAATTCTTTGAAATTTTCATCATGGGGTAGATTGGATGGTTAAAGTGTTTAGCATGCTTGCCTTCATTGACCAGACCTTTGAGTACAGGAGTTGGAATATCATGTTGATGTTGTACGGGGTATTGATGAGGCCTCTTCTGGAGTACTATGTACAGGTCTGATCACCCTGTTATAACAGGGATATTATTAAACTGGAGAGGTTCCAGAAAAGATTTAACAGGATGTCGCTGGGAATGGAGGGCGTCAGTTATAAGGAGAGGCTGGATAGACTGAGGCTTTTTTCACTGCGCATAGAAAGTTGAGGGGTGACCTGATCTATGCCCCTCATTATTTTATAAACCTCTATAAGGTGAATAGCAAACATCTTTTCCCTAAGGTGGGCGAGTTCAAAACTAGGGGGCATAGTTTTAAGGTGAGAGGAGAAAAGATTTAAAAAGGACACGAGGGGCAACTTTTTTACACAGTGGTTCGTGTGTGGAATAAACTTCCTGAGGAAGTAGTGGTTGCAGGTACAGTTACAACACTTAAAAGACATTTGGATAAGTACATGAATAGGAAAGGTTTGGAGGGATATGGATCAAAAAGTGGGACTAGGTTGGGAACATAGTTGATGTGGACTAGTTGGACCGAAGGGCCTGTTTCCATGCTGTTTGACTGTGTGTGCATGTTGCGCCTACATAATTATTTCATTTCCTGTAAAGTGCTTTGTGGAGCACTGTTATATGCTAATGTCTGTCTCTTCCTTCCTTCGTTCTCTATTGTTCTCCCATCCCTTCTCCTTTTATTCCCTCTTCTCTGTCCCTTCTTAGGTAGGAATACGAAACTTTGATTTCAAAATGTAGAAGATCGAAAGGTTTAACCCTGAGTTTGTGTTAGTAGGGAACCCCGTTTATCTCTGAGCAGCCCTGATGCGCCGTGTTAATGAAAACAGTGAATTTTGAACGCAATTGTGTTGAACTGATTGCTCGTAATCTTGTGCAACACTAATTCAAAGCCGGAGTGTTTTGCAATCAGGACACCCTGGGTTTAAAGAGATACCAGACAGGAATATTTTGCATGGGCTTGTGATGTAGATTATGAAACCTCTATTGGTAACATTTGGGAGAATCTGAGGCTGCCAGAGAATCTATTCCACTCTGTTTTGCTGTTGAGATGCTCTTTTAAAATCAAAATGTTTGACTAAACTTTTGGGCACTTGTTCTAATCTCTTTTATGGAGCTTGGTGTCAAATTTTGTTCCAAAATTGATCTGTAACTGTGAAGTGTATGGGACATTTTATTATACTTGAGTTGTCATATGAATGCAAATTGCTGTCATTGTTTGTGGCACCACACTCCCTCCCCCTGTGGAATGTGGCAAACCAAGGGCAAATGTTCTGGATTGCCACGAGATAAAGCATGGCACAACTTCGAGGCTGCTTCCTGTAGACAGGCAAAAAAGATGATTTGATTGAAATTGATGTCAAGCCTTTCACAACTTTAGGGCAACCTTAAGCACTTTATAGCAAACAAAATACTTCTGAAACGCTATCATTGTTTGTATTGTGGGAAACACTACAGCCAGTTTGCACCCACATGTTACACTAACCAGATAACCTGTTTTTCATGTTTTAAAAGGCCAAATACATGTCAGGACACCAGAAAGAACCCTTCTGTAATAGTGGCCATGGGATAGAAGACCACAAGATGTAGCAGAAGCAGGCCATTCAGCCCATTGAGTCTGCTCTGCTCCTTGTTGAGATTATGGCTGAATTGATAATCCTCAACTCCACCTTCATTATCCGCATACCCCTTGATTCACTTACTGGGTAAAAATCTGTCTATTGCAGCCTTGAATAGACTAAATGCCCAGCCTCTGTAGAAAGAAATTCCACCGATTTTTGTCACCATCTGAGAGAAGAAGCTCCATATCTTCTCTGTATCTGGATCTCTTGCACCCAGCCGAGAGGAAATATAGGAACTTGAAGTAATATCCGAAATGAATGACAAGACCTCCAACAGTGTAGCACACCTTCAGTACTTCATTGCAAGTGTCAGCTTAAATTTTGGGCTCAAGTATCTGATGCAAGGCAGGACTGATATCAGAGAGATGAGGCTAATGCATTGTGTCTATTTATATAGTGACTGTCTCAGACTGCAGATGTCCCCAAAGAGTTTCAAGTCCTGTAAAGAGCGTTTAAAGTATATTTTAAAAAGAAACCCAAAGAACTGCAGATGCTGGAAATCGGAAACAAAAATCTAGATTGCTGGAACAACTCAGCAGGTCTGGCAGCATCTGTGGAGAGAAAAAGAGGTAATGTTTCAGGTCAGGTGATCCTTCAGAAGCCACCTTCTGAAGAAGAATCACTGGACCCGAAACATTAACTGTCTTATCTCTCTCCACAGGTACTGCCAGACCAGCTGTGCGGTTTCAGCAATTTCTCTTTCTCGTTTTTGAAGTATATTCCCTGTTGCTGAGCAGGTTATTATGCACACAGCAAGATCCCAAATACATCAATTAAACGTACTGGATAAGAAATATCTGTTGCACGAGATGCCGGCAAGCATCGTCTGCTCTCGGGTTTCGTGTTTGATGCCCGTCGTCTATAGTAGTTGCCTCACTACTCACCCCCAGAATTTCCCCACTCCTCCTCTTCTCAGCCAGGTATTGTGGCTCAGAGGCACTTCATGTTAGGTTGTCAGGGCATGGATCTGGCATCTTGTGAAGTCACGAATCCAACCAGTGCTGTAACTTTTGAGGCTTTTTAACTTGGGTGCAATTTTTTTTAACAGTGCCTTTTCCACACTTGAGTAATCAAATTTTATTTTAATATTGCCAATGCAATGTGTCAGCCAGGAGTGCAGGATGAGGAGGTGAGGAGGAAAGTCTCCTTTGGCTTGTCAGATTGGTAACTTCCTATGTTCCCCCTTTTCTAGGGAACCCTGGAGATCTTGTATCCTGATGAGCACCTGTCCCCTGAGGACTTCAACGTTTATGGACATGGGGGCCGCCATTTCTGGCTTGCCAGTTCTTGTTTCTTCTTTCTGGTAAGCAATGTTAAAGCACTTTGTATTTAATATTTGCTTCAAGGCATGTGTTTGCATAAGTAGTTTCCAGGTGATGATTCATCTCTCATCCCATACATTCCTACACTCCTCTTTGCCAACGTGTTTATTGGGCTACAATCAACAAACCTACAGAATTGGACCCCATATATAAACCCATACAGATCAAAACCGGAAATGACACTACTCGCCATAACAGACCGGACAGTATAAATTCCAAGTGGAGTAGAATAACATCGCTCCATCGGAGGCTCCACTGATGATGTCACCTAACATGGTGATGAAACGTCTGAACAAAAACAAGCCCATTTGGCGAGCAAGTCAACAACCTCTTTCTGCCTACCTTTGTAGGCTTCTACTAACACTCCATTGTGTGTCCCAGATAACAGCTGGGTAGCAAACTTCACACTTAACTTGTCTTCTTTGGAAACACAGATCTGTCACTTGACTAATATTTCCCAGATTCCAGCCTTTGACCGACTCCTGTACGACATTGCCCAAAATAATCTGTTCTGCATAGAAGCTCATACTTGTATATACACTTCTGTTAAAATATAATATTTATGTAAAAAAATATTGCATGCAATTTAAGCAAATACACAACAAAAGTAAACATTCTATAAATGTTGCGAAGACACTTTTATTTTACATTGTTTTACTTCCATTCCTTTTTATTCTTGCATTCTCTCTCCAATCATTGTAAAAGAAGTTTAGAAGCAATTTACAGGAATGGTTCCAGGGATGAGAAACTTAAGTGATTGGGACAGATTGGAGAAATTGTTACTGTTCTTCATAGAATCCCTACAGTGTGGAAGCAGACCATTCAGCCCAGTGACTCCATACCAACCTCTTGAAGAGCATCCCTCCCAGACGATCTGCCAATGCCACACCCTTTACCCTATCCCTGAATTTCCCATGGCTAAACCACCTAACCTACACATCCCTGGACACTATGGGACAATTTAACATGGCAAGTTCGCCTAACCTGCATATCTTTGGACTGTGGGAGGAAATCAGAGCACCCAGAGGGAGCCCTCACAGACATTGGGAGAATGTCTGTCTGTCTGTCGTTCGTTCTTTGTGGAGTTTGCACAGTCACCTGAGGGTGGAAGTGAACCCAGGACCCTGGCACTGAAGGGCAACAGCGCTAACTACTGAGCCATTGTGCCCCCCTACACCCCTCCCCCCACCTTCTTGGAGCAAATAAATCTGAGAGGAGACTTGATTTGAGGTTTTCAAATTCGTAAGCAAGCTGGATAGAGTAATGAGAACAAGAATGACTGGGCATTGATTTTAAAGTCATCTGGGGGGGAAATAAAGCAAGTGAGCAGTGACGAAAACCTTTCCAGTGAGTTGTAAGGGTATGGAATGCACTGTGTGGAAATGCGTGGGGGTAGGTTCAATTGAGGCATTCAAAGGGTCATCAAATTATTTGGATAGAGGTGGTATGCAAGGGTGTGGGGAGAAAGCAGGAGATTGGTGTTTGTTAACGATGCACATTTAACAAACTGATGCAGGAATGACGAACTGAGTGCTATAGCAATCCTGTGGTATGATATTTTCTAATACATAACTGCCATTACATTCATTTCATTTTCTAAATAATTTCAGTCTACCATTTAAACTGTTTTAACATTGTTTTAAAATGTCATTAGCCCAGATCTTCCAATAGAAAGATAGTTCTTGCAGTAACCTAGACAGGAGTTGCACATTGGGACCATATGGAAGACCTGATGCAGCTAACCCCTTGGAATGATAGGAATTACCTGGTATCTGGAACCCTCTGAAAGTGTCCCGGACTCTGAGTTAGACCAACATATTTTAGATTGTTCTGGCATTCTTAGCTGACTAAGTTACCCAGGAGAAGTTGGAGGAAAGAAAACCTACATCAGTGCCTGTGTAACTGTTAAATTTCAGCCCCCTTCCGATCTCCCAGATCACCCTCCACCAATTCCATCCTATGTATCTGCCACCTACTTCACCTCCTCACTAACGTGATATGTACTGAAATTTAATTGCACATGCCTTCCAGTGTTAATCCTCGTGGTTTTTTGCTGCTGTCTTTTGAGGTGTTAATTGGTCCTCTGATGCTTTGTGTGTTTGTGGGGAGTGCGTGGTGTTGCAGGGTAGGTGGAGGTGCTGGTTTCAACTCTGTCGAGGTTTGGACAGCACTTGTGATGGCAGCATCCTGCTGCAGTCAGATTCCAAGGCCTGGCTGCTAAAATCACAGAAAGGTGAGTGCACAGATCTGCTCTGACAGACCTGGAAGTTCTGAACCATGATTTATTCACAACTAAAATACACCACCCAGTGGTGCATTCTGTGCAATGCATTAATCAAAAAATCTTCAATTTTCCATTTGTAGCTCCCTAACAGACACTAGCTATAATATATATCTTTATGCTTTATACCCACTTTCTTTTCTCTCATCACTGAGAACCTCCACAGGAGATTGACTAGGAGTTTAGCTTTTTTCAAAATGATTTTCTTTTCACTCTGATATTTGACATGTAGCCACTTAACCAGATTGATTTATTATCACGTGTACCGAAATACAGTGAAAAGCTTTGTTTGAGTGGTACAGGCCGATCATGGTAAGGAAAGGATGTAGAGATCAAAAAGACTTGGACAGAGGCATACAGGTTACATCGCACAGGGTGTGCACTAGGTGAGATCAACGTTAGCAAGATCAGCGTTTATTTGAGGCTAGAGAGTCCTTTCATCAGTCTGATAACAGTCGGGAAGAAACTGTTCCTGAACCCACTGGCTTTTGTATCTTCCTGACGTAAGAGGTTGTAGGAGAGCATTACTGGGGTGCGATGGTGATGGCAGCAAGCCGTATAAACTGAGTCTGTGGATGGAAGGTTGGCTTCTGCCATGGTCTGGGCTGTGCACACCACCGTCTGAGATGAGACAAGTTTAAGGTAATTGGAAGAAGGTCCATGGGATTTGGCCCTTTTTTTTTTTTTTTGAGGCAGTGCTGACTCGCTGCGCCCTGAATGTAGCCATTCCTGCTCCTTACCTCTTTCCTTTAGCCTTGTAAATTTGTTTTTCTTCTGTCTTTGATCCAGTTTTTGAAGCCTGAACTGGGATGTGCCCCCACCACCCTATCAAGCAGTGCATTCCAGACCCTAACTATCACTGCACGACAAAATGCTATGAAACCTTTTTCCTCCTCTCCACACTAGCAAACGGTGCAATCCTTTAAGAAGGTGTCATCTGTTCTCGGTCCTTTTGTCAACGGATGAGGTGCTGTCTGTGTCCCGTGTCTGTATCCTTAGTGATTTTAAAAGACCCTCTCCGAAGTCATATGACACCAGGTTTATTTAAAATGAACAAGCTTTCACAGTGCTGCTCCTTCATCAGGTGAAGTGACTTCTGACTTTGTTCACCCCAGTCCAACACCGGCTTCTCCACATCACGGTTATCTTTAAAAAACCCTGACTCCTTATCACTTTAAACCAGTGTAAAATTGAGAAGTTTTGTGTTTTTTTGAGTGGTCATCTGGAGAGATTAGCGAACCCCGTGCTTCCCTTCAAATGTAGAAGGGTATGATTTAATAGGAGTGTCCAACTCGTAAATGTTTTGATTTGAGTATGTAGGGAGAAAGTGCCTTCACTGGCAGATGGGTCAGTAACCAGAGGAACAGATTTAATGTAAATTGCAAAAAGAACCAGAGGAGATTTTTTGTGTTTTTTTTTTGAACTCCGGCAAGTTATAAACTGGAATGTTCTGCCTGGAAGGGTAGTGGAAGCAGATTCTGTAATAACTTCCAAAATAGATTCTATTTTTCTGTTAAAAATGCTCCACTTTACCCATGTGTCTTGCAGACTCCCCCGGTACACTTGGACCCTGCTTGGACGCTGCTTGAGTAGGTCCCAGTAGACCCCCATTTGAATTTCATGAGCATCTGTGCAATATTAATCCACCTTCCCTACCCTCAAGCTCTTTCTGTCCAGGAATGTTAAAAAGAACAAATTAGACTCAAGAAGTATTTTGGCAAACAGTTTGTAATTTGCATAAGTTGTACAAAATCTCGATTTTGCTTTTTTTAAAACTATCCATGCAGCTCCTGCCACTGCATAGCGATGAAAAGTCTGTTCATGTCCTTGATGTGAGCCTTAAATCAGGGTTTGATGCTCACTTCCTCTATAGGCACGTACCACTGGCAGTGGTACATCATGGAACGCTCACCATGCTTGTGTTTGGCACTCTGGTCGCTGCCACACTCTTCTTGCTCTTATCAGCGCTCTTTTCAGCACTCTATTCCCTCTCTCTAGTCACTGGCCTGCTCGGAGAATGGAACAGGTCATTGAGCTGGAGCAAGGCAGCAAGGGGTCAGGAGAGGACGTGGGGCTGAATGAATATTGTGGTTCTAGTATTTTAATTGAATTGATTTTTAAAAAGCTTTTGAAAATAAGCCCTTTGAACTGCTCCTATCTCTTTGACAAACCGTTGCCTGTGGCATCACTTGCAGTCATAATGCAGGCACCACACCTGTGTGGGTGGTGACTGTGCCCCCACAGTCTTCGCATGGTCTTTTAATGTGTATTTTTCTCTAGGTATGGGTGTTGCTGTCAAGGCCATCTCAATGTTTTTGGGAAGATGGTCAGCTGTGTTGAATTGCTGTAGTCTGTGTGGTGTAGGGACTCCAACAGTTAGGGAAGGAATTCCAGGATTTTATAACCGTAGAATCCCCACAATGTGAAAGTAGGCCATTCAGCCCATTGAGTCCACACTGACCCTCCAAAGAGCATCCCACCCATACCTATCCCTATAACCCTGCATTCCCATGGCCAATCTACCTAACCGACACATCCATGGACACTGGGCAATTTAGTATGGCCAATCAACCTAACCTGCTCATCTTTGGACTGTGGACCGGAGCACCCAGAGAAAAGCCACGCAGACGTGGGGAGAGTGTGCAAACTTCACATAGACAGTCGCCTGAGGGTGGAATTGAATCCATATCCCTGGCACTGAGAGGCAGCAGTGCTAACCACTGAGCCGCTGCAGATCAGTCAATCTCTTTTTTTTTAATATAAACTTAGGGGTTTCGAAATACATGGTGATATAATGACTGTTGCAACTTATCGTGCAGAAACCCAAAGCTCACTGTTTTGTGGCAAGTTGCTCCATAGCATTCAAGCCTGCTCTGCAAATGCCACCGTTCCAGCACGAGCAGCTCCTCAATGCCTTTCATCCACTGCAGTTCAAGAACTTTGTGCCATGTTGAAAAGCAAGGGCAAGTAGAAGTTGACAGGCCTGCTCAACTCGCTCCATTCCAATGTGATGCATTCACAGGTATCATTGAGCACCTTGCACCATCTCTGAAAAGCAAATTTAGGACAAAAGCGCTCCATTCCTTAAGACAAGGGAGCAATGGTCCAGGTGCCGTATTGTTTCTATTGTGTCTTCAGTGTTGCTGGGTCACGGTTCTGGAACTCCCTTCCTGATGGTACTGAGGGTGTATATGCATCCCGTGGACAGTGGCTGTTCAAGCAAGTGGCTCACCACCACCTTCTCGAGGGCATCTGGGGATGTGCAATAAATGCTGGCCCAGGCAGTGACGCTCACATCCTGAGAATTATCTTTTTAATGGACTTCATTAAATCAATACCCACTGCATGATTAGGTTTACTGCCTGGAGCATGATGCTATATTCAAGATTGTGTTTGAAATCTGTACACTTAAAGATTTGTGTCTTTCACTTTTGTTTTATGTTCTCACACACAGAATCCAACTGTGATCTTGGTTGTGTTTCGTACAAGTGGGCTAGGTGATTGGATAGTGTTTTCTGATGGCATAATCTTACTTGTCCTCTTTCTCACCCTGATTTGATCCAGCATGGTCATTGTTTAAGACTGTAGTGTAGATTTATGAAGGGCAATAGATTTCCCCCATCCGAAACTTTGCCTACATCTTTCACTGGGTCCTATTCACCCATCAGCGCCCCTCCATGTACATACAGAGATGCGCACACACAAATATGCTTTGGTGCTTGGCCTGCATTGCCCAAGTTTTAGAATTTGCATGTTTTTCATTTCCATATCCTTATCTGGCCTTGTGCCATCTCCATCTCTGTCACCTTCTTCAGCTTGGAAACAGCAGTTTGGATTGCAAATCTGGCAACCAGGCTTCAATTAATTTTGAAGTTGGCTGTGGCTGAGCTCCCTGCACCTGTAGCTGGGAGATTTGTTGTGAATGCTGATGGATTGGAAGTGACTTGAGTCTGTTGCTCATCTGCTGCCCTCTGGTTGCTAATCTGCCACTCATGCCTGCTTCTTCCCTGTAAAGGACTGTCGCCGACAGATGGAAAGGAGGTTGAGGAAAACTGAAATGAAGTAATGTTGCCCGTATTCCCAATTCTCACCTGAGCCTTGTTTGCCCGTCACTCCTCTGCTTGCTGACCTACGTTTGGCTTCAGTGTAGTACTGTCTCAAATTTACAAATCTCATACCAGTGTTCAAATCCTTCCATGATATTTTGCCTTCACTATGCACCCATCTCTGTAACCTCTGCCAGCCGTACAACCTTTCAAAATCAAAATCGTTGCTCCGGTTCTGTCCTTGTGAGCACCTTGAATTTTAATTTCTTTTATTCACTCATGGGATTTGGGCATCTCTGGTCAGGCCAGCATTTATTGCCCATCCCTAAATTTCCCAGAGGGCAGTTCAGAATCAACCACATTGCGATGGTTGTGGAGTTACGTGTAAGCCAGACCAGGTGAGGATGACAGAATTTCCTCCCCTAAAGAACATTAGTGAACAGATGGGTTTTTTGGACAATCAACAATGGATTAATGGTCATCATTAGACTCTTAATTCCAAATTCTTTATTTTTATTGAATGAAAATTCCACCATCTGTCATGGTGGGATTTGAATCTGGTTCCCCAGAATATTAGCTGAGCTTCTAGATTAATAGTCCAGCAATAATACCACCAGGCCACTGCCATATTCAGTCAACTCAGCTCTCAGTTCTGGAATTCCATCAGTAAGCATTTCTGTCTGTCTCTCTCTCTCTCTCTCTCTCTCTCTGGCCCTTTTTAAGCTGCACCTTAAAACCGCTGATCAAACTTTTGATCATCTGTCTGTGATCTCCTTTTCTGCCTCTGTTGATCATATTTTGTTGATTGTAAATGTGCTTCATAAGAATACCGTATTAAAGGGGAGATATAATCGCAGTTGAATCGTCATTCACAAGTGAGCCTGTATGGCAGAAGTTGCGTGATATGACACTAATAAACTCTATCCTGAAATTCTGCCTGACTTTGTTTCATTATTTGTTCAAGTAACACAACAATTGCTGGTGAGGCCAGTACTTGTTTCTGCTCATCCCTAATTGCCCCTGAGCCTTGAACCACCACATAATGGTTTTCTTTGTGCAGTTTGATCCAAATGAGTTCATTTCAGAGGGCAGTTAAGAGTCATTACATTGCTATGGGTCTGGAGTCACATGCAGGCCAGACCAGGTAAGGATGGCAGATTTCCCTTCCTAAAAGACATTAGTGAACCAGAAGGGTTTGTTTCTTGTTAAATTACAATCTGGTGACTTTTATGGCCCCTATTTACTGAGAATAGCATTTTTTTTTCAGATTTATTCTTAATTGAATTGAAATTTCTTCCCTACCTGCATGATGGGATTTACTGAAAGAACTGCGGATGCTGTGGATCAGGAGCAAAACAAAGTTGCTGGAAAAGCTCAGCAGGTCTGGCAGCATCTGTGAAGGAAAAAACCATTAACGTTTCAGGTCCGGTGACCCTTCCTCAGAACTGATGGTGGCTGGGAAAATGTCAGTTTATATGCAGAAAAAAGGGAGGGGGATGGGGTAGGGAGTAAGTGATAGGATCGAGCCTAAAGAGAGAGGAGAGCAGTTGGATAGACGAAGAGTTGATAACGATGGAGACTATTTGTGACTTAAGAGTCACTTTTAGTCACTAATAGTCCCCATTAATAACTATTCACCCTCCCCGCCTGATTGTTATCAACTCCTTATCTATCCAACTGCTCTTCTCTCTCTTTAGGCTCTATCCTATCGTTTATCCCCTACCCCATTCTCTCCCTTTTTTCGGCATATAAACTGATGTTTTTTCCAGCCACCATCCGTTCTGAGGAAGGGTCACTGCACCCAAAATGTCAACTGTTTTTTCCTTCACAGATGCTGCCAGACGTGTTGAGCTTTTCCAGCAACTTTGTTTTTGTGCATGATGGGATTTATTGGGAGTTGGGGACGGCAGCGGTGACATTGCAGTGGCATTAAAACAATAGTAATCCCGAGGTTCTAATGATCTGGGGACCAGCAGTAGAATGAATTAAGACTCTTGATTGACAGCTCATCTCAATGATAGTGACCAGTGACCAATGAAACTATCATTGTTGTTTAAAAATCCATCTGGTTCACTAATGTCCTTCAGGGAAGAAAATCTGTTATCCTTACCTGGACTGGCCTACATGTGACTTCAAACCCATGGCAATTGGTTGACTCTTGACTACCCTCTGAAATGGCTAAGCAAACCAATCGGTTTCAAGGGCATGGACAACAGATGCTGATCTTACCGATGACACCCACATCTCATAGGATTTTAAAAAAATTTTCTATCTCTGCAGCACTGGTCCAGTCCTCTGGAATACTTGACGTTACCACTGTGCTACCATCTCCCTAATATTTAACAAGAATGCTTCGTTGATGGCTGAAAGATCAAAATGGGAAGGGAGGAACCATCAGTTAAACTGTTTGTTCTCATTTCTGTTTGTTCACTTCACCTGTTTGGTGTCATTGTATGTGGATGTTGGGTGATGCCCTCCCAGTTGAACACCCCAACGTTCAATGCTGAAATTGATAGATTACCAACAACCAAACATACAAGGAAGTTCCTATATAGTTCCCAAGGAGAGAAAATTTAGAGGTGGTTTTGGTGTGAAGTTGTAATCACTTACTATATCCAGTGTACTACTGCAATGGTTGAGGTTAATGTCTATATTTTGCAGTATTGTTTAAAAGCCTTCTCATGATGTTCTGTCTTTTCTGCAGGTTTATTCAATGATTGTCATTCTCCCAAAAACTCCTTTGCGGGAGCGAATATCTCTGCCATGTGAGTCATTTCATGCTCTCTTCTGTTTCACGAACTGGTATCTCTGGTTATTTAAGGTGTGTCACTCCTCCAATTTGTACTCTCAGCACCTCCCTGAAGATGGGAGCTCTGCTGATGGGTCCAGCAAAACCCTTCCCAAACGCCACTCTGAATGCTGTTTACCACCTGGGGGTCTGTGAGCTCAGTTGATTAGACAGCTGTTTTATGATGCAGAGTGATACCATCAGCACAGCTGACGTCCCAGTGAAGGCCCTGCCTTTTTGACCTTGTCCCTCGTCTGAGGCCCTCCATTATGGCCCTTGGGATAAACTGTTCACTAAGCGTCTCTCTGTAGTGAGAGAGCAGTCTTTAATTCTCTGAACTCAACCATCTAAGTCAGGACTGGTCTTGGAGACTTTGTCTGTTCTTCATTCTCCTGGACACCATTCTCTCTAAATGATCGCTTGGATTAAAATTAGGATATTGCCACCCCTGCTTCGCTTGCATGGGGAAATCCCAGGACAGTGCAAAGAGTTGGGGGGGGGGGGGGGTTTGAAGAGGAAGAGGTCCTGGAGTCTCCTTTTTTTTTTCCCTTCGCCTTTAGGGCAGCACGGTGGCTCAGTGGTTGGTACTGCTGCCTCACAGGGACCCAGGTTCGATCCCAGTCTTGGGTGACTGTGCAAACTCCACACACACGTTCTCCCCATGTCTGCGTGGGTTTCCACCAGTAGCTCTGGTTTCTTTCCACAGTCCAAAGATGTGCAGGCTAGGTGGATTGGCCATACTAAATTGCCCATCGTGTCCAGAGATGGGCAGGCTAGATGGATTAGCTGTGGGAAATGTGGGTTTATGGAGATTGTATGTTCTGGATGGGATGCTCTTCAGAGGGTTAGTGAAGACTCAATGGGCTAAATGGCCACTTGCCACACATTAAGGGTTCAATGATTTTGTGCCTGGGTATTAAGATTTTCCTTGGTCCATATCTTCCATGGGTTCAAGTATTCTCTGCATCAAGTACTTTCAAAGTGAAATTCCTGTTATAATGTAGGGGAATGCAGCAGCCACTCTGTGTACAGTAAGATCCTACAAAGGGCAGTGTGACCCAATAACTATAGGCCAGGCAGTTCACCTTCCAGTGGAAGAAAGCTATTAGAGATGTCATTGCAGGAGTAGTCACTTGAACAAGTGTGGATTAATAGGGAGGAAACATCAGTGGTGTTTTGAAGGTCAAACTATATTTAAATATTATCCTGATTTTATTTTTGAAGAGGTAACAGAAATGAGTGAGGCTAATGTGGTTGACTTGCTCTATATGGACTTCCAAAATGCATTGGAAAAGGTCCATATAATAGACTTGCCAACAATGTTGAAGCCTGTGGTTAAAAAAGGCACAGCTGTATGAATAAGAAATTTGCTGTTTAACAGAGTGTTCATGAAGTTATACAGTGGGGGCTAGCCAGGAGTTTGCATTAGAATCGCAATTGTTGATGAATATTAATGGTCTAGATTTGTGTGTGTGAAGCAGTTTCTAAATTTTGTGCCATTTTGTAAAATTTTTGAAGAATTGTGAACATGATGGATTTCATGATTGACAGGCTGGTCAAAAATATGTGAAATTTATCCAGAGAAGCATGAAGCAATGCACTTTGGTTGGAAGACTGTTTAGAAGCTGTATAAAACAAAAGGATATAGTTTTAGAGGGTGCTATACATAAATAATCGAAGATGGCAGGATGGGTTCAGAAAGTGGCTAATAAAGTTGACAGGATCCTAGGCTTTATAGAAAGAAGCGGTTTGAGTGCAAAATCAATGAATCTTTTACAATGAGCCTTTAAACTCTGGAGTATTGCATCAAATTCTATGCACTCTACTTCATGAAGTAATGAAGATTTTAGAGAGGTCGCAGAAACATTGACGAGTGAATCCGTGGATGGAGACTTCAGATATGTGCATAGATTGGAGAAGTGCTACTGTTTCATGCTCAGCGTTCAATGGCTTTAATTTAGATGCTAACTTGTACAAGTTAATGTGACAGTGAATGTACACTTTAAAATATGGCCTTGAGTCTTTGTGGAGTGTGCCAGAGCCATTCCCAAAGTAAAGCAAATGTTTTCATGACCCTGCCCTTGAGACTACCAATGGGGTTCCTGTTACGACAGAACTTTCAAAGTAGGAGTGATCTGACCTGGTACAAGTTTCAAAGCTATGACTGACACATTTAGTTGTGTGTGTTAGCTGCAGATCAGGCACCAGGTCAGGGTCAGTGTGAGGGGTTGCTAACTCATCCTGCCCTGGAATCTGCAGGAAATACAAGCCAGTCTCCTCCATCCAAAGCACTGATGTGAGCAAAAGGAAAATGGGGAGAGGAATAATCAAAAAGGAGACATTACAAAAAATTGTGAAAAATTTAATATTTATTATTTGGTAAAACTATTGTAGAAGGGATTTTGTTTTGTAAGATAAAGGTATTTAACAGGGTTGGGGCAGAGGGGTGGTTGCAGGCAGGAAGTCATGTGATGTGACTTGCAAGAATGTGTCCAATGTTACTTGACCACCCCAGGGTCAGGTCAGATTCTGAGTAGAGATGAAGACCATGTTTGCACAAACTCAGTGCTCAGTTGAACCTGGTTTCTTTTGCACTTATTTCTGAAAGGAACCTAGCTTTTCCTTGACTTGTGTTATTTTCCAAACCCCTACAGCCAAGAAAAGCTTCTACATCTATGCTGCAATCCTGTCACTGTTGAACCTGATCCAAGGGGTTGGCAGTGCACTGCTGTGCGCTAATGTTGCAGTGGGATTATGGTAGGTGTGAGTTAATATTACATCAGGATTGGGTGATGAGAGCTATCTACAATGCCTATTGCAGCTTGTCTTCCATGTATTTGAGGCTTGATTGAAAAGTCATGAACTGAGGTTCATAGTGTTAGGGCTCAGACTGAAATTAAGAAATTTCTTCACTTGACCATGTTATGAATCTATACAGTTCTCTATAAGGATGTAAGAAATAGGAGCAGGAGTAGACCACTTGGCCCTCGAAGCTGCTGCCAATGCCATTTAGTGCGATAGAACATAGAACAGCACAGTACAGGCCCTTCGGCCCACGGTGTTGTGCCGACCTTTTACCCTAATCCTAAGGTCTATCTAACCTCCACCCCTACCTTATACTATCATCCATATGCCTATCTAATAGCCGCTTAAATGCCCCTAAGGAGGTTGACTCCACTACCCTCTCTGGCAATGCATTCCACGCCCCGATCACTTTCCGAGTACAGGTGGATAAAAATGGTGTGGGATGGTGAGGGGACCTGTCCAAATTGAATGGAAAAATAGAAAAAGCACTTGGATTTATCTGACAATGAGGCAATAGCGCTCTGAATTGTTCTTTCCAAATCCAGCATGAAATGTTACATCACAGAACTGCCAGTTCTGCCTCACCAGCTTCCCCCTTAAATTCCTGTATCTTTACCACAATCTGGAGTGAGTTATGACTTCTAAATTGCTCTCTGGGCACAAGAACAATTCCTGTTCAAATTTGCAGTGATTGTGTCTAATGTTAATGGCCATTTCTTCTTGTCCTCTCATAAATGGGAACATCATCTTCACATCTATCCTATCTAACTTTTATACATTTATTTTCTTTTCAATAGAAATTTGTTCTATGTTTCTTGATGGTTGTAACCTCTCAGTCCTGCTATCATTTTTGTAAGCCTTTTTTGTTGTTTCTCCAGTAGTGCTCTGTCCTTTCTATAATATGGAGACCAGAATGATGAAAAGTCCTCCCAGGCATTTCTATTTTTGTTTCAAATTTCTAGCATTCATTTTTTTTTTTTGTGTAGTAGTCTAACCAAGTAATGTTTAGATTTAATGACATAACAAGATGTAGAGCTGGATGAACACAGCAGGCCAAGCAGCATCAGAGGAGCAGGAAAGCTGACGTTTTGGGTCGAGACCCTTCTTCAGAAATGGGGGAGGGGAAGGGAATTCTGAAATAAATAGGGAGAGAGGGGGAGGCGGATAGTAGATGGATAAAGGAGATCGGTGGAGAGGAGACAGACAGGTCAAAGAGGCTGGGTTGGAGCCAGTAAAGGTGAATGTAGGTGGGGAGTTATAGAGGGGATAGGTCGGTCCAGGGAGGACGGACAAGTCAAGGAGGCGGGATGAGGTTAGTGGGTAGGAGATGGATGTGGGGCTTGAGGTGGGAGGAAGGACAGGTTAGGGAGGCGGGGACGAGCTGGACTGGTTTTGGGATGCGGTAGGGGGAGGGGAGATTTTGAAGCTTGTGAAATTCGCTTTGATACCATTGGGCTGCAGGGTTCCCAAGCGGAATATGAGCTGCTGTTCCTGCCGCCTTTGGGTGGCATCATTGTGGCAATGCAGGAGGTCCAGGATGGACATGTCATCCAAGGAGTGGGAGTGGGAGTTGAAATGGGTCGCAACTGGGAGGTGCAGTTGTTTGTCGTGAACCGAGCGTAGGTGTTCCACAAAGTGGTCCCCAAGCCTCCGCTTGGTTTCCCCGATGTAGAGTGGCCACATCGGGAACAGCAGACAGTATACCACATTAGCAGATGTGCAGGTGAACATCTGTTTGATGTGGAAGGTCTTCTTAGGGCCTGTGAGGGGGGAGGTGTAGGGGCAGGTGTAGCACTTGCTGCGGTTGCAGGGAAAAGTGGTGGGGAGTATGGAGCGGACAAGGGAGTCATGGGGAGAGTGGTCCCTCCGGAAAGCAGATAAGGGTGGGGAGGGAAAAATGTCTTTTGGTAATGGGTTCAGATTGCAGATGGCGGAAGTGTCGGAGGATGATGCGTTGGATCCGGAGGTTGGTGGGGTGGTACGTGAGGACGAGGGGGATTCTGTTTTGGTTGTTATTGCGGGTAGGGCGTGTGAGGGATGAATTGCGGGAAATGCGAGCGATGCAGTCGAGGGTGTTTTCGACCACTGTGGAGGGGAAGTTGCGGTCCTTGAAAAACGAGGACATCTGGGATGTCCAGGAGTGGAATGCCTCATCTCGGGAGCAGATGCAGTGGAGGCAAAGGAATTGGGAATAGGGGATGGCCTTTTTGCAGGAAGGTGGGTGAGAGGAGGTGTATTCTAGGTAGCTGTGGGAGTCGGTAGGCTTGAAATGGATATTGGTTTCCAGGTGGATGCCAGAGACGGAGACAGAGAGGTACAGGAAGGAGAGAGCGGTATCCGAGATGGTCCAGGTGAACTGAAGGTTGGGGTGGAAGGTGTTAGTGAAGTGGATGAACTGTTCGAGCTCCTCGTGGGAGCACGAGGTGGTGCCGATACAGTCATCGATGTAATGGAGGAAGAGGTGGGGGATAGGGCCAGTGTAGCTCTGGAACAGGGATTGTTCCACTTATCCTACAAAGAGGCAGGCATAGCTTGGGCCCATGCGGGTACCCATGGCTACTCCCTTTGTCTGTAGGAAGTGGGAGGAATTGAAGGAGAAGTTGTTAAAGGTGAGGATGAGTTCAGCTAAGCGGATGAGGGTGTCAGTGGAGGGGGACTGGTCGGGCCTGCAGGACAGGAAGAAGCGGAGGTCCTTTAGGCCATCTGCATGGAGAATGCAAGTGTATAGGGACTGGACATCCATGGTAAAAATGAGGTGTTGGGGACCAGGGAATCGGAATTTTTGGAGGAGGTGGAGGGCATGGGTGGTGTCACGGACGTAGGTGGGGAGTTCCTGGACCAAGAGGGAGAAAATGGAGTCAAGATAGGTGGAGATAAGTTCGGTGGGGCAGGAGCAGGTGGAAACAACGGGTCGACCAGGGCAGTCAGGTTTGTGGATTTTGGGAAGGAGATAGAAACAGGCGGTGCAGGGTTGTGGAACGATAAGGTTAGAGGCTGTGGGTGGAAGGTCACCTGAAGTGATGAGGTTGTGGATGGTCTGGGAGATGATGGTTTGGTGGTTGGGGGTGGGATCGTGATCAAGGGGCAGTAGGAGGAGGTGCCAGAGTTGGCGTCTGGCATTGGCGATGTAGAGGTCAGTGCGCCATTCTACAACTGTGCCTCCCTTGTCCGCGGGTTTTATGGTGAGGTTACGGTTGGAGCGGAGGGCTGCACATTCTGTGGGGGAGAGGTTGGAGTGGGTTAGAGGGGTGGAGCGGTTGAGGCGATTCATGTTAGAGATGAAGAGGTTGAGGGAGGGTAGGAGGCCTTGGGGTGGTGTCCAGGAGGAGGGGGTGTGTTGCAGGCGGGAGAAGGGGTCTTTAGAGGGAGGGTTAGGCTCACGATTAAAGAAGTAAACGTGCAGGTGGAGGCGGCAGAAAAAACTGTTCAATGTCCAAACGTGAGCCCTTTACTGAGGACTGACCGTTCGTCCTCAGTAAGGGGAAATACAGATTTAATGTAACTTCTCCACATGTACTCTATGTTAAGATGCTGTTGGTTGTAACTTGTGTATAATATGCTTTATTTTTCTCCTTTTTGTAGCTGTGTGGATGTCACCACGTTCCTTTATTTCAGTCTATTTGCTCCATTGATGTATGTTACATTTCTGAAGGGTTTCTTTGGGTAAGCTATCAGTATTTTGTAACTCTAACTCTAAGTTAGCACCATATAATTTCCAAAGCAAAATGACTTGTTAATACTTAGGGTTTCTATTTTGTAAGCCAACAATTGAAAGGGAGAGAAAAGGGATAAGGCTTACAATTACATAGCACCTTTTACAACCTCTGGTCCAATGTTCCCTCTAAGCTGTGCACACACGCACACGATGCTCCAAGGTTCAGTGCAAGGTGATTGGTGTTGGCCGTTATCCATCACAGCATTGACGTCTGTTTTGAGAAGTCACTGCTGAGCACAGACCATGGAGGCCTGCTGCTGGGTCGAAAAGTAGAGGGAATGCTGCTTAGGATATCCTAAAGCACCTTCCAGCCAATGAAGTATTTTTTGAAGCACAGTCACTATTGTAATGTAGGAAATGGGGCAGCCAATTTGCAAAGAGCAATAATCCCACCAACTGCAACGAGATCATGATCAAGTGCTCTATTTAATATTTTTTAAGGGTTAAGTATTGGTCGGAATGGTCTTTAAAGTATTGCCGGGGAATTTTTTTTCATCCAATTGTTGGATATGTACACTGCTAGCAAGACTAGTATTTATTGTCCATTCCTTGAGTGGGTGATGGTGAGTTGCTTTCTTGAACCGCTGCAGTCCATGTGCTGGAGGTAGACCCAGAATGCTGTTAGGGAGGGAGTTCTAGGATTTTGACCGAGGAACAGTAAAGGGATGATATATTTTCAAGTCAGGATGGTGAGTGGCTTGGGAAGGATCTTGATGGTGGTGGTGTTTCTATTTATCTGCCCTTGTCCTCTAGGTAATAGAGATTGTAGGTTTGGAAGGTGCTGTGAAGGGGTATTGGTGAATTTCAGTATCCATCTTATTGCTACTTGAAGAAAGTTGCTGGAAAAGCTCAGCAGGTTTGGCAGCACCTGTGAAGGAAAAAACAGAGTTAACGTTTCGGGTCCGGTGACCCTTCCTCAGAACACCGAGCTTTTCCAGCAGCTTTGTTTTTGCTCCTGATTTACAGCATACTCTGTTCTTTCGGTTTTTATTGCTACTTGAGATGGCAGCTGTGACAGTGCTCACTCTCGGTACTGCATTGGGAGCATTGGTCTACAGGGATATACTTGAGTATCTGGAGTGAGAATTCAACCCATAACTCTGTGTCAAGAAAGTGCTACTTGCTGATCTATGGCTAAGCGAGCTTCCCCAAGAATTGCATTGGTTGAGTCACAAGTTGTGTTTCTTTTTCTCTTTCCCCCAAACCCCATTCTTTCATGCACGAGAAACGTTTGTTCAAGATAATGACACTGCTTTCATGTAAGGAAATTGGTTTTCCTTTGGAGGTTTTGGCATCTTTTTAAACATCTTCTCATCCCTACAGGTCTGAGCCCAAGATTCTCTTCTCCTACAAGTCACAGATCGATGAGCCCGAAGATACTGATGTGCACCTGCCCCAGACCCACTCTGTGGCCAAGAAGGAAGCTCTGGAGCCTTGCCCCTACTCTAACACACAGATCGACAGCTCAGCTGCTTACCTCGACGATCTGACTGTTGGAAGCATCAACAGTTTTGACAGTGACCGGTGGAAAATTATGAATGCTTGAGAACGAGGTGGTGGTGGATCAGTGGAAGTTAGCGATAAACCTGCCCTATCTCTCTCTTTGTGCTGCCTCATCCAATGTCCTGAGATTTCAGTATTGGAATATTCTGATTGAGATTTTCAACACACTCGCCAACCTGTGAACATCAGAGCTCCGAACCTCTCACATTCCCTCTTTTTGGGGGGTTTTAAAAATCTTTCTTTGTCTTCATACCAGCATACTGAACCACCCCCCACTTCCCCAACCGTAACCAAGCCCTCCAGCACCCTCTCCCCTCCCTCCGAATCTCAGGGAAGGGGGTGTAAAGCTTCCACACCTTGCTCTGGGCCTCAGTCGTTATGTTACTTTGTGTCTGTGTCTTTTGAACAGTGTCTTTCCAAATGTAAAAGCTGGAGGCTAATTTCTTTTCCACATCTTCCCTTTCAAGTTGTTTTGGAACAAAAAGAAAAAGAAACAAGGAAAGTGTGAAGCTGTGGCCTGCCCTGTTTGCACACCATCCATCGCTCCACTGCCTTTTCTCATTGAAGTTGTTGTCTATTCTTTAGGGTGTGCAGAGTTGGGTAGAGGAGAAGAAGTCTGTTTGCCGCAGTATTAATTAAGATGGTTCCCTTCACTGTGAATGGCTGCTGCTTGGTGATGGTATAATGGTTGGAGAATTTCACAGCCTTAAGGTGACTCTGGCTCTATTAGACTCTCTGACCTTTAACCACAAGTCGATATTGAGGATTCCAGCATCCAGGTGCTGTTTATTGAAGGGTAGAGAGTGTTTAATTAAAAAAAAAAATTATTTTTAAAATTTTTTGACCTTTGACTTTTTGTGTACTTTCAATCTGACAACTGTTGTAATTTTTTTTCTTATTGAGTCTGAAAGTTTTATTACTAAATGTTTATTTTCAACAGGGGGAGGCAATGGCCTAGTGGTGTTATCACTGAACTGTCAATCCAGAGACCTAGATAATGTCCTGGGACCCAAGTTCAAATTTCACCATGGTAGATGGCGGAATTTGAATTCAATAAGATATCTGGAATTAAGAATCTAACTATGACCGTGGGTCCATTGTCGATTTGTTGGAAAAACCCATCTGGTTCACTCATGTCCTTTAAGGAAGGAAACTGCCATCCATAGCTGGTCTGGCCTACGTGTGACTCCAGACCCACAGCAACATGGTTAACTCTTAGCTGGCCTCTGGGCAATTGGGGATGGGAAATAAATGCTGCCTAGCCAGTGATGCCCTCACCTTGTGAATGAATAAACAAGAAAAAAGCATTGAGACTTAGAGGCACCAAAGTAGCAGTGGTCAGCATTGCTGCCTCACAACGCCAGGGATCCAAGTTCGATTCCATCCTCGGGTGACTGTCTGTGTGGAGTTTGCACATTCTCCCTGTGTCTGTGTGGGTTTCCTCCCACAGTCCAAAGATATGCGGGTTAGGTGTATTTGCCATGGTAAATGCAAGATTACAAGGATAGAGAAGTGGGCGTGGGTGGGATGTTCTTCGGAGGGGTGGTGCGGCCTTGTGGACCGAATGGCCTGCTTCCACACTGTTGGGATTCTATTTTACTGAAGGACAACCTGACCAGGTGCAAACAAACTGTCTGACTCAGTCTGGAATGGAGGTCAAAATAAGTGATGAGTGATTGTAATATGATAACATTTTATATGAAGATTGAAAATGTCTTTGTTAAATCCAAAACTAGTCTCAAATCTCAAATGCAGGGGACTATGAAGATATGAGGGGCAAACTGGTATGGTATGTGGGAAACTACATTAAAATAGTACACAGGAAATAGATTATCATTTAAAAAGTAAATACATGGTTTGTGGTAAATGTACATCCCTTTCAGGTACAAAAACCTGCAGGAAAAGTGATCCAAGAGAAGTTAAACATATTGAAGGAGGAGGCTTTTAAAGTTTCCAAAAACAGCAGTAAACCTGAGGATTGGGAGCATTTTAAAATTCAACAAAGGACAACAAAGAAACTGATAAATAAAGGGAAAATAGAATATGAAGGTAAACAAGTGGGGGAGAAAAAAAAAAACCAGGCAGTAAAAGTTTATTTTATATGTAAGTTATATCAATGAAGAAAAATATGTGCCCATTACAGGCAGATAGGGGGGAAATTATCCTTGGGAATAAGTTTTTTTTTTTTTTTTTTTTTTTTTTTTTAAAAAAAAAAAGGCCCAACCACCTTCAGATGCTGAATCTATGATCTTCTCTCCATAAGGTGAGGAGTGGGGACATTCGCCAGTGTTTGCGCAGTGTTTAACATGATTAGCAATAAGACAGATGCTGAAGAAGTCCATACCCAAATACAGCAAGACTTGGACAATGTAAGGCAAGGACCATCTCCAATAAGAGATAGTCTAACCATCACAATGACATTACTGTCAGTGAATCCCCCACTATCAACATCTTGGGAGTTACCATTCACCAGAAACTAAATTGGACTAGTCATGTAAATACAGTGGGTAGGAATCCTGTCGTGGGTAGGAATCCTGTCATGAGTAACTCACCTCTTGCCTCCTCAAAGCCTGTCCACCATCTACAGGGCACAAGTCAGGAGTGTGATGGAATACTCCCTAGTTGCCTAGATGAGTGTGCCTCCAACAACATTCAAGAAGCTTGACACCATCCAAGACAAAGCAGCCCCTTGATTGGCACTACATCCACTTGCTCCTGCACAGATGCTCAGTAGCAGCAGTGTGTACCACCTAAATGATGCATTACTTGGATAGAGGCTCCTTAGACAACACTTTCCAAACTCACAACCACTGATCTAGAAAGACAGGTCAGGGGAAACATGATGGACACAGTAGAGCTAGTTCCCTTCCAAGCCACTTATCACCCTAACTTGGAAATATATTACTGTTCCTTCACTGTTGCTGGGTCAAACTGTGGAGTTGCCCCTTTCTATGACATTGTGGGTCTAACTATAGCTGTTGAAGGAGGCAGCTCACCACTACCTTTAGCCAAAATGCTGGCCTAGCCGGTGATGGTCACATCCTGTAACTATATATGTACATCCAGAAATACATCAGAAACAAGAATAGGCAACTCTGCTCTGTCAGTTTATAAACCCTTTGTTGACGGTGTTGTGGCCTTGCCCAGATAACATTTGACTGTTCTTGGCCAAGAATCTACGCCTACCTTAAAAATATTTAATGATCCTGCCTGTTGTGGCAGAGAGTTCCAAAGTTTCACTACTGTGAGAAGAAAAAAAAATTGCCCTTGTCTCCATCTTAAAATTGACAACCCTGAAATTTAAACTCTGTCCCCACAGTTCTAGTCCGTCTCACAAGGAGAAACTTCCTTTCAGCGTCCATTCTGTCCAATCCCCTCTGGATGCTACATATCAATCAAGTCACCTCTGAATCTTCTAAACTCCAATGGATACAGACTCAACCTTTGCTCACTCGGTAACCTCCCATCCCAGGAATTAGTTGAAGTAAACTTATCTGAATTGCGTCTAAAGCATTTGTATCTTCCGTTAAATAAGATCAAAACTGTACAAAATATTCCAGATTTGGCCTCTCCAAAATCTGCAGCAAAACATCTCTACTTTTATATTCCATTTTCCTTGCAGTAAACAAAAACATTCCATTTGCCTTCCTAATTGCTTGTTGTACCTGTAAACTAATTTTATGTGATTCATGGACCAGGGCACCCAGATTGTCTGTCCGTCTGTCTGCCTGCCTGTCTGTCTGCCTGCCTGCCTATCTACACATGTATTTTGTAACAACGTACAATGAAAAGTATTGTACACCCTCTGGCACCGACCTAGAACACAAAGGCAGTTAAGTGCTCTGTAATGGGTCTGGTGGCCAGTCACGAGTCCCCTTCGCTGCACCACCGCTGCTGAAACAAAAGTTGCCACTCTCCAGTGCAATCTCGCCTGCTCCAACATCCTCTCCACTATGAGTCCTTGGTGGATTTGCCAATGCAGCTGCCAGGTACTGCACCAGCCCAAACTCAACTTTGCTGCTGCCATGAGTCTGCTTTGGGACTACTTCGCCAACGTAGCTGCTGCCGCTGGGTCTTATACTAGGTGCAAATTCGCCTCTGCTTCCGTGAATCTGTGCTGAACGTGGACACTGCCGGGAACCCAAACTCACCTCTGCCGCAGGAGGCATGAGTTGGTGCTAGGACCACCTCCGAAGCAGAAGCACTGGGCTAGCTTACCGCTGCCAGTGCAGTTGCTGTGACTGAGCTCTTCAACAAGAGTTAAGTAAAAGAAGAAAAAAAAGTGAATAGCGGATGATCCCCTACTCCGCGGCCATCTACACCTCCGATCCCGCTATACGTCAGAGTTCTGCAAGGGTCCGGATCCAAAACATCAACTTTCCTGCTCTTCAGATGCTGCCTGGCCTGCTGTGTTCCTCCAGCTCCACACTGCATTGTCTCTGACTCCAGCATTGGCAGTTCTTACTATCTCCTATAAAATATATGCTGCTTATCCATCTGAAAATAAGAAATGGGCCCAGCTCAAAACTTATTGAAAGTGAGGAAGCAGTTGTCTGCTGCTGCGAGATTCACAGAGTCAACTGGAGAAATCTGGGGGTGGGGAGGAGACCCACAGTAGGTGCTGCTACTGCCAAGCCAAAGGAAAGGACAGTTTTTAGGTTAACCACCAAGCAGAATGTTGATACAGATGGATTACCACTTGTAATGCTTGGAATTATACCTGGCACAATGGAAGATGGTTGTGGTGATTGGAGGTCAATCATATCTCTACATGGCATCACTGCTGGAGTTCCTCAGGGATAGAATCCTTGGTCCAACCATCTTCAGCTGTTTCATCAACGACTTGTGCTTCATCATAAGGTCAGAGATATGGATGCTCACTGATGATTGCATATGTTTAGTAACATTCACAACATCTCAGATACAGAAGATGATCAGATACAGAAGATGATTACAAGCTGATCAGAGGATGAGATAGGATGGACAGTGGGAGCCTTTTTCCTCGGATGGTGATGGCTAGCACGAGGGGACGTAGCTTTAAATTGAGGGGGTGATAGATATAGGACAGATGTCAGAGGTAGGTTCTTTACTCAGAGAGTAGTAAGGGCGTGGAATGCCCTGCCTGCAAAAGTAGTAGACTCGCCAATTTTAAGGGCATTTAAATGGTCATTGGATAAACATATGGATGATAATGGAATAGTGTAGGTTAGATGGGCTTCAGATTGGTTTCACAGGTCGGCGCAACATCAAGGGCCGAAGGGCCTGTACTGCGCTGTAATGTTCTATGTTCTAGGTTCTAGAAGCAGTCCATGTCCATTTGCAGCAAAATCTTGAAGACATTCAGGCTTTGGCTGATAAAGGGCGAGTAATATTGTCTCCACACAAATGTCAGGCAGTGATCATCTTCGACAAGAGACAATTTAAACATTTCTACTTCTGTATCAGTGAATCTCCTGACATCAAGTCCATCAGGATTACCATTGACAGAAACTTAATTAGATCAGCCAGTGGCTCCAGAAACATGTCACTTCTACTCTATCAGATTATTGAGGAAACTCCTTCATTTCATACAATAGGATATTTGAATGAATATGCAATTAATGGATAGAGTTGCTCACTAACCCAAATATGAAACTTACAAAATTTAGCCATTTAGATGATCAATCTCATAAAGATTACCAAAAGGTGCAAGAGACAAAGCTTTTAATCTTGTACTCATCAGTGTAGGATGCAAGAAACAGACCTGGGGGGAAAAAAGACACCAATTATACACTTGAGAAAATGTTGCTGATTGGTTGGGCCGTTGATGCCATGGAGATGCAACATGAGCAGTTAACTGTCAATCTTAGTTCTCAGGCCAAGCAGGTAGACTTTTATGAGTCAGAGTGTTGCCGTGAGAAAGTAATAGTTCCGTGAGCCACTGGGGAAGCATACTGTTTATTGAGCGCTGGTATTTCTGGAGTCAAATCAAACATTAATGATTTTTTTAAAGTGTACACAGTACCTCAATTTATCTGACATTCAAGTTGATAGAAAGCTCGGGCTAGGTTTGTGTACAAACCAAGAATTATTAGTTACTACAAGTAATTAGACTGCAGCTACAGGTAAGCAAATATAAACCGTTGGCATGCAATACTAGGAGCTTAAAATTCTAATCTTATGAGCTTCCCCCTCACACATATACCCCACAACTAGGGAAAATAGATTATTGACAAAGGTAGAAAAATTTGGAAAGTAAGTTCAGTCGTCTTTGCTCGAGACAACAAGGTGCAGAGCTGGATGAGCACAGCAGGCCAAGCAGCATCATAGGAGCAGAAAGGCAGACGTTTCAGGCCTAGATCCTTTCTTCCAGTTTTAATGTGTTGAGATGATACTTCTTTGGCTGCTGTTGTTATTCAGATATCTTTTTCTGCATGCTTCCATAGGTTAATGAGAAGTACAGAATAACACTTCACATCCTTGCTAACGTTTTTGTCCTGGGCCTGCTACAATGTTCCAATGAAACTCAATGCAAGCTGGAGGCCTCAATCTTGAGTTCCACAACCTCAAAGTATGATTTATGACCTCCATTATTCTTATATCCTTTCTCCAAAAGAAAACCCACCTGCCCTGGTTCTGTGTATTGTTGACTTTGCCCTCAAAGTGGGCACAATTTCTCTTATTCACACCTAATGTTTACACCCAATTTCTATCCCTCTTTCTCCATCATTAAAATTTCCTTTGTCTGTTGTTCTGTGCATCTTCATGATTTGTTATAACTGCTTTTATCGACACCTCCATCAACTCCATTAGAAAACACCCTTGGTCCCTGTCAGTTCTGGGGAAGAATCATGTTCAGATGCTGCTAGAGGAGCTATTAAGCTTGTGTGCAGCAACACCTCCTGTAGTGGGTAGGGGATATATATCAGTGCCTCCTGTGGCACGCAGGAGAAGTTGTTACTGGTTAAGCCCAGCATTTACTGCCCATCCCTAATTGTGCAGAGGGCAGTTAAGTGTCAACCACATTGCTGTGGGTCTGGAGTCACATTTAGGCCATAACAGGTAAGGATGGCAGTTTCCCTCCGTAAAGGACATTAGTGAACCAGATAATTTTTCTGACAATTGACAACAGTTTCATGGTCACTATTAGACTCCTAATTCTAGATATTCTATGAATTCAAATTCCACCCTGGCGGGATTCGAACCCGTGTCCCCACAATTTTACTCGGGCGATCCATTAACAGTCGTGATAATATCACTGGACCATTGCCTTCCCTCTCCCCAGCAGCGCCTCCTGTGGCGGATGCGGGGAGGTACAGCAATGCACATGGCTAAAACTACAACCCCCAGAGGGCCGTGCTGCTGCGCATGCGTCCCTGCCGGCTTGTTGCGGACCCCGCGCAGCGTCCATCAAGACCCGCTATGATTGGTCCAGTGTGGCCGCGACGTCAGGCCCCGCCTACTGGTCCAATCGCGTGGGAGGTTACTGGAGCGGGCTCTCGGTCTTTAACGAGCATTTAATCGGGAGGATCGTATTGGAGAGTCCGCGGATGGGGGCCAGCGGTAGCACCAGCACCAGGCGTGTGTCTTTCGGCAAAGATGATCAGGAACGAGTGACAGTTTTGCAGGGAATGAGGGTGAGTAAGGATAGGGGGTGATGGATGGGAGGATGGAGGGATGGAGGGATGGGGGAGGAGAGGGGAGCGGGTGATGGGAGGATAGTGGGAGGAGGGATGGGGATGATGTGTAGGAGCGGATGGGGACGAGGAGGAGGAGAAGTTGATGGATGGGAAGGGATGTGGAGGATGGGAAATTGGTGATTTTGGAAATTGGAAATTTGGAAAGGGGGTTGGGAAGACTGTGGGATGACTCATGGGAGGGCAGTGGAGAGGATGGATTCATGATGGATGGGGTGGTGGAGTGGAGGGATGATGGATGGGGTTAGTGGGGGAAGGGACGGGGAAGGGCGATGGATGGGAGGAGTTGAGGAGGGTGGGATGGACGGTGGTTGGGTGGGGATGGGGAGAAAGTTGAGGAGAAAGGATGGGATGGTGGGTGTGTGGGTGTGAGGTGGAAGGTGGGATGATAAATGGGAGGGTGGTGGAGAGGAGGGTGGGATGAAGGAGGGAAGGAAGTGAGGGATGATGGTTGGGGGCGTGGGAAATTGGACGGGAGGGTTTGGGGAGGAGAGAAGGATGATTGATGTTAAGGGGGAGGGTAAGGATGGTGGATTGGGAGTGTAGCGAGATGATAGATGGGAGGAGGCTGGATGGCGCAGAAGGATGATGGATTGGCAAGGGGCTGGATAGGAGCGGGGTCATGCAGGAAATGACGTGGGGAATGATGAGAGAAGGCAGGTCGGGGTGTGCGGATGGGGGAAGGGTTTTGGGGATGTGGGTGAAATGGGGGTGTGAATGGATGCAGTGTGAGATGAGGGAGGGTGTATGGGATGAGGGAGAGATGGGAGGCCGTGTGGTTGTGTGGTGGTTGTGAGAGTGTAGACATGGTGGAGGCAAAGGGACCATGAGAGGTGAATGGCAGGGGGCGGAGGGATGACGGCGAGATGGGAAGTGGGAGAGATGATCATTCATTCACAACCCTACACAGTGGGTAGTGGTATGGGTTTTATTAGATTTGAATCTTATTTGGTACACTTGGAAATTTAACCTAACCCACATTCTTACATGCAATTGTCATTCACCACTCCTCTTCCCCCTAAAAAAATCTTGCTTCTAACAACAAGGGTGAACATAGGGCTTCCATTCCACTCTTTTGATTTGATTTGATTTGATTTATTGTTGTCACATGTACTGAGATACAGTGAAACGTGTTGTTTTGTGAGCCCTATGGGTAGATTGTACCGTACAAGGTGCATCAGGTCGCAGAACAAAGTGCAGAATACAGTGTTAGAACTGTGGAGAAGGTGCAGAGAGAGAGAGAGAGAGATCAATCTCAATCCTTCCTTGGATAATTAGTGGTTAGAACCTTCTTCTGCCACCTACTTTGTCATTTCAAGTTGACCTGTTCTCCTCACTGATTAATTTTCCTAACACCCTACGATTTAAATGTAGCAAACTCTCTTTGTCCTTCTTCCACCACCTCCACAGCTTCAATCTCTTCAATCTGGGCTCCTGATGGAAAATTAGAATCTGATTTTATGTGGAATTGAAAAGGAAAGTCAATTTTTTTTTGGTCAATAACCAGCATTAAGTGTTGGGGAAACTAATGAGGCTAAAGACAGATAGGTCCCCTAGACCTGGTGGGATACTTCTATACATCAGTGGAGCTGAGGTGGAGATGATTGACAGTGTCAAGTTCCTAGGAGTGACGATCACCAACAATCTGTCTTGGACTACCCACGTTGATGCGATGGTCAAGAAGACACAAGGATGTCTCTTCTTCCGCAGAAGGTTATGGAAATTCAGCATGTTCATAAGGACGCTTAACAACTTTTACAGACGCACCATAGAAAGCATTCTATCTGGATGCATTATGGCTTGGAACAGGAGCTGCTCTGCCCAGGACGTTAAGAAACTACAGAAAGTTTTGTGCACAGCCCAGACCATCACACAATTCAACCTTCCATCCATTTCTTGTTGCTGCAGAAAAACAGCCAACATCATCAATGACCCCTCCCACCCCAGTTATAATCTCTTCCACCCTCTTCCGCCAGGCAGAAGATACAAAAGCTTAAATACACGTACCAACAGGTTCAAGAACAACTTCTTCTCCGCTGTTATTAGATTTCTAAATGGACCTCTCAAATTTCAAATCTAATGTTGATTTTGTATTTTGTGTACCTTCTTTGCAGCTATAACTTTGTATTCCACATTCTGTTCAATCACACTATGATCTTTGTGTCTTTGTATGTTATGATCTGTGTGTACTGCATGCAAAACAAAACTTTTCACTGTACTTAGATACATGTGACAATGAAAAATCCAATCAAGTCAAATGTTAAAGGAAGTAGATACAGAGATGGTGGATGCACCGATAGTAATCATTTGGCAACCAAACAAACTTAAAGGCTTTGTATCTGATAGCACAAAGCATTTGGAGTAAAATTAATGAGTTCATGTCAGATCAGTCATAAACCTATTGAATGACAGAGCGGACTCGAGGCTGAACTGCCTCCACTTGATCCTATTGCTTATGATCAGGAGAGTGAGAATTCCTTGGATGGGAATATTCACCTGCTGGCTTTATCCTTCTTGGGCAAGGAAGTTGCAGTTTGCTTTTGAAGTGGCTTGGTAGGTTGCTGCAGTGCGACATGGCTTTCTTCGCTGTCACCAAGACAATATATGGACCCAACAACTAAATGAAAAAAACCAAAAGAAGTATGGATGCTGGAAGTCATAAACAAAAACAGAAATTGCTGGGAAAAGTCAACCGAGGAATCCCCCTCCTCTCCAACACCAGGTCATCACCCAAATCCTTGCTTAGGCATCTTCTCCCATCCTCAGAGGAAACCTTTCCTGAAAGCCTGTGTGGCTTTGACTAAACTGTAAAACTACAGGCATGATTTTCAGTTCTTGACAACTCCAAGAAAAACACCAGGAACAACAACAACAACTCTAAATGGCCTTCGTCAACCTGACCAAGGCTTTTGCCTCAGTCAGTTGGGAACTGCTATGGAAGATCCTTCCAAAAGCCGGCTTTCTGGTGAAATTCATCAACATCCTCCATCTCCTCAATGACACGATATTGACGATGGTCGTCACTGATGATAATATGACAGATTCATTTGAGGTCAAGTCAGGGGTCAAGCAGGGAAGTGTCATTGCCCCCCACCCTTTGCTCCACCTTCATTGCCACCCTTATGGGTACTGTGTTAGCATGGATAGAAGATTGGTTAACTAACAGAAAGCAAAGAGTGGAAATAAATGGGTATTTTTTTGCTTGGCAATCAGCAGCTGGTGAAGTGCCCTAGGGATCAGTGTTGGGACTGCAATTGTTTACGATTTACACAGATGATTTAGAGTTGGAGTCCAAATGTAGTGTGTCAAAGTTTGCAGATGACACTAAGATGACTGGTAGAACAAAGTTTGCAGAGTGCACTGAAAGATATAGATAGGTTAAGTGAGTGGGCAAGGGCCTGGCAGTTGGAGTACAATGTTGGTAAATGTGATGTCATCCATTTTGGTAGGGGTAACAGCCCTATTATTTAAATGGTGAAAAATTGCAACCTGCTGCTGTGTAGAGGGGCCTGAGTGTCCTTGTGCATGAATCACAAAAGTTAGTTTGCTGGTGCAGCAGGTAATTAAGAAGGCAATTAGAATATTGTCCTTCATTACTAGAGATATGGAGTTTGAAAATAGGGAGGTTATGCTGTAGCTGTATAGGGTGCTGGGGGCCACACCTGGAGTACTGTGTACAGTTTCGATCTCCTTACTTGAGAAAGGATGCACTGGCACTGGAGGGGGGGTGCAGAGGAGGGTCACTAGGTTGATTCTAGAGTTGAGAGGGTTGGCTTATGAGGAAGAATGAGTAGACTGGGACTATACTCATTAGAATTGAGAAGAATGAGGGGTAGATCTTATAGAAACATATAAAATTATGAAGGGGATAGATAAGATAGAAGCAGGAAGGTTGTTTCCACTGTCAGATGAAACTAGAACTAGGGGGCATAGCCTCGAAATAAGGGGGAGCAGATTTAGGGTTGTGAATCTGTGGAATTCCCAGCGAAGCAGTTGAGGCTACCTTTTTGAATGTCTTTAAGGCCAAGATAGACTTTTGAACAGTAAAGGAATTGAGGGTTAGGGTGAGCAGGCAGGTAAATCGAGCTGAGTCTATGAAAAGATCAGCCATGATCTTATTGAATGGTGATGCAGACTCGGGCCAGATGGCTTACTCCTGCTCCTATTTCTTACGTTCTTCAACTTGTCAAGAGCAGGCTTCCCAGTGGTGTGGACGTTACCCACAGGCTGGATGAAAGACTTTTCAACCTCAACCTGTTGAAATCCAAAGAGAAAACGACACTGACCTTGCTTGTGGAACTTCAGTATGCGGGTGATAATATCATCTCTGCTCGCTTGAAGAAAATCTTCAAGCATGGCTTAATGCCTTTGCGGAAACTATACTGAGGAATTGGTCTCAGCTTCAACTGTCTGAAGACGGAAATCCTTTACCAACCCATCCCAAGTCTAGTTCTGCTCCATGCCTCCATTAAGACCAGTGGAGGAGTCCTCACTAATGTGGAACATTTTTCTCGACCTGGGGAACTGCCTCTCTTCTAAGGTTGACATTGATGTGGAGATTCAGCATTGCCTTCAAACTATAAGCGCTGCCTTCGGATGTCTAAGGATGAGAATCTTCAATGACTATGACAACCATGTTCATACCAGGATCATTGTGTATAAGGCAGTCATCCTTCCGACTCTCCTGTATGGCTCTGAAACTTGGACTACATATAGACACCACCTCAAGACCCTTGAGATGTACTATCGATGTTGTTTGAAATGGATTCTCCACATTAGCTGGGAGGCTGAGCGTACTAACGTCAGTGTCCTTGAAGCAGCTAACAGTGCCAGCATCGAGGCCACAATCATTCAAAACCAACACCGCTGGGCTGGCCATGTGCTTAAGGTGCCTGAGTTCTGACTGCCAAAGCAAATCATCTTCACCAGCTCAACGAAGG